ATGTAACCTTTCGCCCGTGCTGGCATGAAGTGACAGGTAAGGTAGCTGAGCTCCCTGCTGATTGCTGGCTTGATTGCACCGAAGCCCGCAGCTCGCGTTTGCGATGCTTGAACCCACAGATGCCGAATACGAGAGCAGAGGCACTAAATTCAACACAACCAGTCGCATCAATGCTAAAGCCAATCAAGCTGTGGCCAGCTCGTCCGCAAAGCAGGAAAACATGGTGGCGCCAGATTCGGGTGCCAGGCGTGGTGGAGTTCCGACAGAAAAAGCCGTCATAACAGCGGATGGCTGTCTGCTGCTCTGGCCTAGGCTTCAATTGAGTATGTGAGCGTCAGAAGCATGAAAAACGAATATACCAAGATTCGCAAGAAGAGTAGTAATTCTTTAAGCAGAATGAGTGATGCCAAGCCGTTGATGAGTCTACGGCGTGTGCTGCTGCTGCTGCTGCTGCTGGTGCTGCTGAACTGCTACCACAATTACGACGACGACTACCACTTCCATTACCACTACCACGACCACGGTTAACTACTACTACTGACAATTAGTACTACGAGTACGTACCAGCATGTACCAGACAGGCTGCTGCTGCTGCTGCTGCTACTGCTACTACTGCTACTACTGCTACTACCACTACCACGAGCACCAGCACCAGCACGAGCACAGGAACTGGCACTGGCGCTAGCAGTAGCATTACTACAACAACAACTACTACTACAACAACTACTACTACTACTACCACTACTACTACTGCTATTACCACGCAAAGGCTACAATGACCATAACCATGACGACATGACGACAACGACGGTACGTGCACGCATCAGATAGTTGCGACAAGTTCCTGTCGATCCCAGGACTGTATCCCATTGTCCGGACGAGGAGTCAGGCTGAGATTCCTGAGTCAGGCCTAAACACAGCCCTCAACCCAAAGATTTAATGCAGGTGCCGTAGCAATTAGAATGGGGTCTTGGGGCCAAGCCTCCCTAAATTTTTTTTATTACAGAATGAGTTATTAAGGCCTCTACATTAGTCCTGTCTGAGTGCGCCTTGCGACGCCAACAGCCTTCTGAGTCCCTGGCGTCGTGCCCGAACCGCAAATATGCCCTTCCGGACCTTTTCCACATCAGAACTTGTTGTACGATAGCGAACATACTATGTGGGCATATGTCTGGACATTCGTTCTTCCATGTTCGTCTGCTTCTCTGTGTCTCTATCTGTCTATGGCGCTCCCAAAATATGTGCATGAGTGTATATACACATAGATAAGCCCTCGCATTGTCTGTATCTAATTACATATGCATGGTCATCCCTTTCATGCACTCCATGTCTGTCCTGCTTCTGATTGAACATTCTCGGCAAAAGATGGCAGAGTCGCCATTTTCGATCGTATGCGCCAAGGAGAAACAGCTGCCCACGGTTCAAACAGAAACAAAGATGGGGTTCATGTGGAGAGGAGCAGACGAATATATGTGTATACATATCGTACCCTCCGTATAAACAAACGTTCTCGATAAGTAGGTCGTCCATGGATAGACACATAAAAATCACATACGTGCACTCGCAAACACACAAGGACAAACACATGCATTCTACCTCTGCATATATACCTGCACAAGACATGCATGTAGTAGAAAACACGAAGAATGTTTGTCAACGTATATAACATATGCGCAGGCGAAAACGTGAAATATGGCATGATCAATACATCGTTTGCTACTACGTAGTGACGTAGTACATTCTACATGTTATGCATTCGCCTCCTGTCTTCTTGCCAAAGAACATGCTGTTCGTTCGCTCAGGTGAGCATATGTATGTCTGCATTTCTTTAAACAGGAACATAGTGTAGATACCTGTAAGGTGCGTGTCTTCATGTACACGGGACCCACACATATGCATGTGGGCACAAGCATTACCGCCAGTTGGATGCAAGAGGCTCCGGCTGATGATTCGTAAGACCCCGGCAAATGATTCCCTCGGAGACATTGCCGGTTCCGACCACACAGACCTGAGATTACGTTGTTTTCGTTACTGGGGTTGTTGCTAGGGTTTAAGGTTCTGTAAGTTAGCCAGCCATTGAATACAATTTGCCTGAGGAAGTGGCTTTCGCCAGCAACGAAGAGTCAAAATCAGCATTCGGTCACAACCCGCATACGAGCATGCTATGTGCCTGCTTTTACCAACCACTGAGTTGAGGCTATCCCTCACGATCTGCTATTCTTTCTGCAAAGCCCTACCACCAACAAACATCAACATCCCACCACAGCCTAATACAGGGGCCTTAAGAATTAGAATGGGGTTTCGGGGCCCTCTATTTCTATAACTATTTTTAGGAACCCCACGATAATAGTATTGGTAGCTATTGAGGCCCCTGTATGAAAGCCCCCAAAGCCTGGCAGCCTGAGGCCAGGGCTCGACCCTCCGGGCAGGGTTCACAGGAGGAGAAGTCCGGAGTTCCACGCCAAGGCGACCTTGGCAATCGCGAGCACCCGCAGGGTAACAGGGTTTAGGGTTTAGGATTTAGGGTTTGGGGTTTAAGGGTTTAGGATTTAGGGTTTAGGGAGTGATGTACTATGTCACAAAGAGCACATGAAGGCAACAGGTACTGTCTGGTGCTCAGTAGGGACTGGGGGAATGGATCCCACCCTTCATAATCCCCAATAGTAGTCCCCGTAGTCCATCCCCCATTGCCTACTACGCACCAGGGAGAAGAAACTCAACACTATGTATGGAAGGACGACGGTATGGGTGATGATTGCAATGATGACGACAAGTCATTCTGAGAACTCCAGACTCCAGCTCATTGAAACTTGGGCACGGAAGGTTGGACGGCGATCCTGAATCAGCCCTTCCTTCAGTCACATTATAAGAAACATAAACCCTCATTCCTAAGAGCGGTACAGAGTACCATGAGGCAACCCCCAAACCCCAAACCCTAAACCCCCTAACCCCCAAACCCCAAACCCTAAACCCTAAACCCCAAACCCTAAACCCCAAACCCTAAACCCAAAAACTCAGGGCTTCGCCAGGTCCCCGCAGGACAGGGCTCGCAGGAGATGGTGCTCGAGCTTCCTTCACCCAAAGACCTCGGTGGTCTGAAGCTCCAAAGCTGGTGGGAGAGTGCCGGGCGGTTGAGGGTTTGTAGGGTTTAAGGGTTTTGGGTTTATCGGGTTTAGGGGTTTAAGGATTTTGGGTTCAGGGTTTAGGGGTGTAGGGTTTAGGGTTTCGGGTTTAAGGTTTAGGGTTCCGCGTTTCGGCTTTAGGGTTTGGTTCAGGGTTCAGGGTTCAGGGTTTAGGGTTTAGGGTTTAGTTGTCAGGGCTTAGGGGGTTTGAGGCCTAGGATTTCCGTCATTTTGTGCCACAGCTTCCGCAAGGTCTTAGGGTCTATAGTTGCAGGTTCACGGTCGTTTGGGATGTAGGGTTTAAGGCGTCGGAGCAGATTTAGATTCAGGTTCATACCATTCAAGCCTATGCAAGCTGTAACTGCTTCTGAGACTTGAATCTCAAATTGTTTGGGGGCGGCAACCTGCCGACTCCCGGATACTCTCCTTCTTGCGGCTTTGACTGGCATCATGCTCTTTCTGCTATTCGAGTACTAGCAATCTTCACATTATTCATAATGTGTTCTTAGCAGCTTTAGGCAATAATGTCGCTGTTTCTGCTGGTGTGTTGTCACCGGAATAGTAGTTAGTAGTTTTCTCGTGATTGCCCAGTTCTCCGGTTCGTCCAACCACCTATTACAGTCAGTACTATATTTTGTTCTTCTCACCAAAGTGAATGACATTGTCGTGCCACCGTTTCAAGAACCAAAGCCTATCTGCAGCGCAAGCCAGGCCTTCCCGCCAGACATCTGCAAGACAGAGCTCGAAAGGCTGCCTCCCCCCTCAATCTCCCAAGCTCAGAAACCCCAAGACCGCAAAATCCCGAAAGCCACACCTAAAGCTCTCAAACCTGCATTGAAGGAGTCTGTAAGCTTGAACGGTAAAGCCTAAACCCCTCGAAGCCTGAGCCTAAAGACTGGACTCGAAACCCCAAGAACCCCAAAGCAAAAAACGCTTTGTTACAATATAGGGGCCTAAATGATTAGCAATACTATTTTTGTGGGGGGCTCCTGGTTATAATTGGATTGAAGTGGGCCCAAAACCCTATTCTAGGTATTTCCCCTACATTAAGGCTGTGGCGGCTCCCGAAAAGTGCCGGGGGGGCAAATGAACCTGGCGCAGCAGTCACCGTTGGGCTTGAAGGTTCTAGCTTTGGGGTCCTGGGATGTCGTGTTGCTGGGCTCAGAGGGTTTACCTAAACCCTAAACCCTAAACCGTTTTAGGGTTTAGGGTTTGGCTTTACCGTCAAACAGTGGCGGTGGGACGGAGTCGTCGTTCCGAAGTCTGGACACCTCGAAGCTGCAAACTTCCACTGATGTGTCTTGAGATCTGGGGGGCACAGAGCCCCTAAACCCTAAACCCCTAAACCCATGGCAACTGAGGCCCCTGCGAGGCTCCGGCCGGGCAAGGGTAGCAGGTAGGAGTGTTGGTGAAAGGTGCGAATTGCCCAGGAAAGCACCTCAGCTTCTGAAAAGCTTTGTGCTGTGTTGATGGCGCATGAAACTTCTAACACAGCACCTTACCGAGGCCGAGACCCTTCAACCCTTGAACCCTTAAGCCCGAAACCCCTGCTGCATCGTTTTGGGGCTCTCATGGTCGGCCCAGGTCTGTTAGTTTCTGCGGTCGCAGCTTGTGCTGCAGGGTGAGACACCATGCCAAAGGCGCAGTTGCCTGAACAGTTGCGCAACGATGCCTGTACTGAAAAGATGAGGACTATGGTGTCAGACACGTGCAGCAAGTGGGAGCTTCAGAAGACAAGCAATGCCCATCTGATTAATAGCAGCTAACGAATTGCAGGATCTTTCCGAAATATCTGGACCCTACATATCCACAGCAAATCGTCTGAAACACCCAGGTAGGTTCTGCTTACTCCACGAATTCCCATCTCCTTCACAGCAGCTAGGCTTTCAAGACGGCAGCACAGTCCTTCAAAAAGGAGAGCTCCTGCTCTGCCTGACACCGTGCAGAATATCAACTTGCACGACACCTAGTGGTAAAGACAGAGGTATGAATATGAGTAATCTTCACCGTAGGCATCATAGCCAGAATCATGATTGTCATCGAAGATCGAGATTTTAACAAACCAACAATGATACATCTCGCAGTGAAACCAGCAATAGCTCCTGAAAACAGCTGCGTGCCCTACATTTCCATAGGTCTCTCCCACCTCCGGATCCGTTGCGGCAGTGAGCTCAGATACTCTCGCCGTGACCTCGATTTAGGGTTTACGGTTTAGGGGGGCTCGGCTTTGGGTTGAGAGTTTATCTAGGGCTTAGCAAAAGAATACAGACCGCGCATAGTGCATGTGGCAACGCTGTTGGGGCACCATGCCTGTGGCTTCTGTGCACCAGGAATTCTATCAACGGTACTAGTACTAATACTGATATTAATATTTGTATTAATATTAATACTAATATTAATATTCATACTAATATTACTAACACTAATACTCATTGAAGCCCTGACCAAACTCGAAATTCAAGCCCTAAACCTCGTCTGGCAAATGATCATCTCAGGTCCGACCTTGTGTAATGGTTCACCTGCACCATGACATGTCAGTAAGCATCATTCGAATGAAGCCGAGCTCTGCAGCTCAATATTTCGTGTAGTGTAGGGGCCTGGCTAAGTAGAAGAAGGCTTTGGGTGTCTTTATGGCGTAGTCATAAAGGAATAACAGTGGTAATTATGCTAGGCTTCTTTTCTGTGAATCTATGGAAGCTTGTTCTTGTACTGCAGCCTGCTAACAAGATACAAACCCTGCATGTATGAAGCCCCCAAGAGTCAGTGGGACATGAAGGCATCCTGAATTCCAACCACAGCTCAACCCGGCAAGTGAAGCGCTCGAAAAGCTTGAGGCCCTGACTCCTAAACCGCCAAGCCCTGAAAGACAAAATCCTCAGCCTAAGACCCTACCCTCTCAACGAAAGTTCCAGTATTGCTACATATGGACTGCCAAAGACTTCTCTTTTTCTGATCCCTATATTGCATCCCGAAACAATCCTCCCAGGTTGCCGACGGCCGCCAGCAATTCCGGGGGACACTGAGCCTTCCCGAGATGGGTCTAAATAGCCGCCCCCCACTGCGCCCATTTTCATGTAAAAATGTGGGGCTGCAGTAGTTATCAAGAACCCTGCTACCCGTACTTTGATTAACCCCTTTGGGTTGCAACCAAAAAAGACGATCGGGCCTCAGAAGAAGAATGCTGGTCTTCGTCTTCGTACTTCTTCGGGAAGATGTATAGCAAAGATGCAGGGATCTCTTGGGAGAACCCAGAGGGAGGCTCCAAACGTGCAAGCGCTGCATGGATGAGCTTTCGAAGCTAAGTAAACCAGGGTTTAGCGTGCAAAGCTAAGGCAAACAATAATCCTAATAGTAGTAGTAATAATGATAGTAATAGTAATAGTAAACTAGACGATGTTATAAAGCCAGAGGAGCTTTGGTAGGCTTTGGGGCAGGCTCATGCTTTGCATCGATCATTAAATGCGGCTTTCGCGAGACAACTGAGTGCAAGTGTGTAGCCCCGGAAATAAGACCGGAAAAGGAAAGGGGGTACTTGGGAGCTCATCGAGTCCGATGACTAAATACGGGGCCGCAATAATTACCAATTCTATTCCTCAGAGTTCATTAGTCCATTTCTTATACAACAGCCTCAAGCCCTGTTTTAACTTTCCAAGGCCCCGATATTAGTCCCGCCTACGCAAACCTTGAACTTCCAAAGCCTAAACCCAGAAGATCAGGAGGCAGTCTCACCGCGTCTGGGATTCAACAAGCACTGCTGACTACTGGCTTAGAGCTTGGAGTTCTATCTTTAAATCTCAGGGTGATAGGGCTGTTGGGCTACAGAGCTGTTTGTAAGGCTTGTTTGTTTTTGTTTATTACTTGTTTTTCTTTGCATCTTATTGTCATCGAGTTTTACTGTTATCGCTGTTATTGTTACTGTCCTTATTACTATTAGTTTTTTATTCATATGATGATCATTCACTTATACCTGCTATTATCGGATAGACCTCCTGCTCGTCTCAGAGCCGGCTCCGTCTCCCAGGTTCTCTCTACCCTAAGGCCCCAAAGTAGTTCCTTTTAGGGGTTCATATAAAGAATCCTACAGGGTAGTCCCAAAAAGGAACTACTTTGGGGCATACGTCTCAGGCCTTGAAGCCGCTCCCGAGTTGAAGAGCGCAGGAAGCCAAAGTCTCCTGCAAGAGCCGGGATCTTAGGACTGAGATTAGGATTGCAATCGAAAGGAATACTGGAAGCAACTGGTATGATATACTTATGGTATATAATATATATATATATATATATATAATAACTATAATATTATATACATATATATATATATATGTATATATACTTATTTATTGATTTATTTATTTAGGGCTCCTTCCTTCGAAGGCTTCTGCTTTGGATCATGGTCGCGTTAGGAGCTTGTCTCTGCCCCAGGCTTACGGTGTTGGGGTGTAGGGGCCTTACTTCAGGGTATAGCAGTATAGCGGATCAAGGCTCCGGAGAGTCACCCTGCAGGGAAGTGGATGGAATGTGACTCTCAACACTCACCACGACTGCGCATGCCTTCGACATGCCCGCTCCTTGTACTGGATCCCGGCATCCTGACGGGGTTTGGCATTCTGGTCGGGAACCAGACGAAACGATGGAGTTGCCTCATCAACGAGGTGCTTATTGAAGTCCAATTGATCCGTGCCGGTACAGTATCGCCCGCTGCTCTTGTCGTTGCGGCTACAAGTCCAGCTACGGCGGTGCCGATAGCTTTCATTGCTTCTGGCACGTCTTCTCTAGCGACTTCGGTAGCAGTGATGACGATTGCACTACCACCACTACTACTCCTCTTCCTGCTGCTGCTGGTACCCCAAAATCCTAGTGAAGATGCAAACAACAGCTGTTGCTGGGACAGCTATGACGACAACAACTACGTTGTCCGACTACTTCGTCCTGCTCTTCCCCAAATGCCTCCTACTGCACTGGCGACAGCAAAATTGACGATCAAGCTTGCTGCAGCAATTGCAGTATGATTTAGCATCGGTCGTGTCATCTATATATGAGTAATAGTCTGCATCATGTGGTGACACTATTTTTGTCCTTCTTGGCTCGTAGCGCAAACGATGGAACCGGTGCTTGCCTACATAAAGAGAGCCAGTGCAAGCAACGCTACTACTCAGTACAAGTAACAGTATATAACTACAGTACCCTGCCCTCAAAGATTTATCTCTTCCTTACTTTCTCTTTCTTCATCGCATAATGCTGTTGCTATCGGTGCCTGCGGCAAACTCAAGCTGCAGTGGGATGGAGGTCCCAAGGCTATAGTCTGCAATGCTGGCAGGTTTTTGCAAAGATCGCCGCTGCAACGATTGCATGGCACGTCAAATAAGTACCTTGCTCGACGTGACTTGGTGGACTGGTGCCGAAGCCCATCGAATAGCTGACTGCCATGCCGATTATTGCACTTCAAAACCCAGGGCCCCGTCCTCCAGGTTGGAGAAAAGCTTGGCCAGGGCAGTCGCCAGTGGCGCCGCGTGCTGGCGAGGTTGTGAGGCTGCCGACACAAAGAAAAAACCAATCATGCAAGCTGTAGCAGCGTATCAGACTACCGCAGCTGAGGCTCACAAGTGTTGAACAGTTGCACTTGGGTAATCTAACATCCGGTGCCGAGGCTCCTCGGCAGCCATGCTCTCGTTCTCCACTAAGGATCGAACGAAAGAAGCTGCCTCCGGCGAAAAGCAGGGAGGCAAGGACTGCAGGAGAGGAGATTGAACTTGTGGCCGAACTATTCTGCCAGGCGGCTGCAGCGTGTCCGGTTTACAGGTGTTACCGATTGAGTCTAGAGGCACAACATAAGTGTAGTCCCCCGGAGATCGCGGACATCATGAAAAGCAAGACCTTTCCCGACCAGAATCCCACACCTTCTCGCGAGTTCCAGGGAGCTCCTTGTTGCCAGGTGCTGCATGCCAAAGGACAGTCGTCATTATAACAGCTACGCCAAGCGCTCCTTGAAGTATGCGCGTAAGAGGCAGCTGCTGTGTGGAAAGAACTGTTTTGCTGGGTTGCTCTATCCACGACATCACCTGGGTCCTCAACCGAAGCCCCAAACGCTACTCTTTGAATCCTGAACCTTAAACATACACCCCAAACCCTGCTGCCCTAAATCCTAAGTCCTAAACCTCTTAGTCTCAATTACACCCTCCGATGGTCCTGAAGGTCCATGCACATCGTCAGCAATGCCAAACCACTGGGCTGGTCCAGGAGGAGCTTCTCGAACTCCTCCGGCTGTAAGTCCGAACTTCCCCCGGAGGCGAGGCTTCGGGAGGCGAGGTTTGATGCTTTGGCGGGTCGGGGGGTTTGGGGGTCTCGGGCTCAGGGGTTCACGGTTTGGGCTTGGTTTTAGGTTTCTGGTTTGTGGCATGCCCTGGTAGACAGCAGTACGAACTGAAATCGGGCTGGTTGAGAAGCACGCAGAAGTTTTCCAAATATGCACAGACCGAGAACCTTACAAACCTTCATTGGCCTTTCCGCCTAGAGCCCAGAGTACAGCGGGTCACGACGAGTAGAATCTTAGAAGAGCGCCTCATGGTTCCTCAAAGGCCTCCGGACTCCCTCCAAGGACTGCTCTTGTCAACATCTGACTCCCCCAAAGCCCAACAAAAAACCCGAAACCCTAAAACCTCCAGGCCCTGGACCCTTCCCCAAAGTCTCCTTCACATTTCGGACCAGGGCCACGAGGGCTCGAAATGCTTTGGATCGCTCTTCAGAGCCTGCAGGAGTCTCCTGCAAAGCATTCTGCTATAGGGGCCTTGATAATTAGAAAAGGGTTCCGGGGCCCATGATACTACAATTATAATAAGGAAAACCCAAAACAATATAGGTAATTATTTAGAAGCTTCTTGGGCCTTCCGGTGGCTTCGTTTTTGATTGGCGTGGGGGTGGGCACCGTCTGATAGCCGACAGCTGTGTAAGTCCTAAACTTCCTAAACCTTAGACACCTTTATGATTCACACCCTAAGCTAAGAACCTCACCCCACAAGATTGAATAGGTTGAATGTTTTCCGGGGCCGTACGGATTGACTTGCTTCCGATGGCTTTCCTGAAGAGGGCAACCCCCAGTAGACCGGCGGCTTCTCAAAGTTACAGTATAGCGAGGCTACATACGCGTCACAGTAACGGTTGTAGATAGTGGGAGTGAAGGCTCTCTTGCTCATAATCGCAGGTATCAATCTGGCTGCCTTAGTATTCGTTTCCGTAGGGGTGTTGAAACTAGAATCCGTATTCGTAAGTAAATTGGCCACCCGCTTCATCTGTATGACTGCCGTTGACCTCTAGATCTCTCCTGCACCCTTAGGGTTTAGGGTTTAGCGGTTTTGGGGGGGCTTCGGGTTTAGGGGCCCGAAGCCAAAGGTCCGCTCCTGCGCAATTTTCATGCACAGCGGAAGGGCCTCTCGCTTTACCCCGGCGGCCTTCGGAAATGGCACAGGGAGGGTTCAAGGTTGAGGGTGTAGAATACCCTAAGGGTCTATGCAGCCGTATAGTATAGGCCGAGGTATATATACTATATGATTACTAGAATACCCTAAGGGTCTATGTGCCCATATAGCATAGGCCGAAGTATATATACTGTATGAGTACATGGACCCTTTGGGATAGCAAGAGGAGGAATGTGTCAGACCGGCCTTGATAATCAGAGCCGGATGTTAGGTCATGTCATTCTTTGGATACAAAACCAGGCTGAATCAGATCAGGAACACTCTCACCGATGATCGTTCCCAGACGGAGGCAGTCGAGCACCCGTTGACAACAACCAAGAATCGTTCGACTCTTCTAAGTTGCTGATAAAGGACATCCTGCACCTGGGTGCGATCCCTGAAGGCGCTTAAGAAGGCACGGAATCACAAAGCCCAAACCCAGATCCCAAACCCAAGCCCTGAAGATTAATCCCATGAGCCCTAGACACTTGAACCTAAAACCTCTTGCCCGAACACAAGGAGCCTGAATGTTGGGGTTGTTAGAGAACAAAAGCGCAAGGATCTCGAATGTCCTGACACGAATAAATCCCTAGGCCTTAGAGTTTAGGGTTCTGGGCTTAGGATGACGGGGTTTGGGGCTTTGAGGGTTCATGTAGGAGCTACTGGCAGGGTCTGAGGTAGGATCTAAGCATTACTTAGTGCCTCAGGATCTGGAGCTTCCGGAACCATGGTCTGCAACTGGAAAGCTGCAAACACGAATGTAATGCCGAACGTCGAGGCTTTGAGGGTTTCGGGTCTTGGGGATTTGCAATCTCTGGGTCTGCGTGTGTAGCCGGTTTAAGATCCGACTACCTCGCGTACTAAGTATTGGAGACCCGTACCTGAATCTTCGGAAAACTCTAAGCGACAACTCTCAGGACACGGAAGGTTGAGGATTTGGGGATTTTAGGGTGGATTTTAGGATTCTACAGTTTAGACAAGATGTTGGCGTGGAGCAGAGATCTCGCATGCTGAGATGTGCTCACGCAGGTTTGCGCCAGACATACTGCAAAATGAATAATTAGACTGGATTTGGTGTAGAATATTAAAACCACAATTTAACAAAGAAAGCCAAACACCTATTCTCATTATTAAGGTCCCTACATTAAGGCATTAAGGATTCTGCAGTAAATCGGCGCTTCAGGGGCAAACGCACAAGAGACTTCGCGGTCCTGCTGCGGACGGAGCCCCTGGACAGCAAGTTTCAGAATCCGATTTCACAAGTCAGATCCGCATGTGAAGGCTCATCGCAGAAAAGTTGGGAGGAGCGGGGGCGGTGGCATTCAGCCTCTGAAGCTCCTCTGGTATGGCTACTAGGTTACTAGGTGGCACGGCGCCGCCATCAAACCGCAGAACAAAGCTTTCCCGGGTGTCGGGCTCATGCGAGGCGGCCAGGTCCAGCAAAGGCTGCAAGACGTCCAGCCTCCGCAACAGCCGTGAGTGCCGGTGGGTCAGCGGATGCAGATGCTGAGCCAAGACACTTCTCGGCATTGCGTGCGCAGTCTGGGTCGTCACAGCAGCGGTCAATGACCTCTCGCTCAAGCTGTATCCACTGTATCCGCAAGCCATACGATGCTTTGTCAGACGGAACTTGCGTGTCATTGGGGGATCCTGGCTAGTAATTAGTGAAGATGGGCAGGAATCCTGGAATGATCCACACACGGGCGCCCTCTCCCCCCCTCGCGCCTCCAAGGCCGTGGATATGCTCTCGTCGGTGCGCTCCGGCGAAAGGATCTGGTCGCGGGCCTTTTTCCAAACCACGAGCTTCTCAGAACATGTCGGAGGACGGGCATGCATCAGGCTTCGCCATCTCTTACGACTAGAAGTCCCGTTCGTAGCATCAGTAGTGTGTGCACCGTCATTGTTTGTGCCATTGCTTGTGTTGCTGTCATTCTCAATTTCAGAACACGATGTGTTGAAATTTGTCATGATTTTGACTCTGGAGCTGCATTCTTGGTCTTGCCAGAGTAATGTGTAGTGATTAATGCCTTTCCTCCCAGATGCATAGCTAGAATGCCAGAACTTGCAGCTTCATGCTACCTGAGCACCATGCATCACGTTCTTCTCAATGCAAGGGATGCTTCTCAGTCCCAAGCCCCATCCGAGCACGAATGCCGTAAATTCAAAATCCTGCTTCCCAAGCTGTACACCAAGGATGTTGCTTGTCCTCATATTATTCTTGTTGCTGTTCCCCCCAGCCCAAATCGCAGGCCTCGACCATCACTTTATTGGGGTCCTGTCTTGAAGCGGTTGGGGGCTTTGGGCTTGTAGAGTTCAGGATGTACGGGGCTTACAAGCCCGGTTTAGAGTCCAGGATTTAGGGTTAAACGCGATGGAGTTTCGGACTTGGGCTGTGTGCTTCAGGGCTTGCAGCGTTTCCATCCAGTGTCCGTGGCAAGGCAGAAGAACGTTACACCATGTTCCAAAAGCCCCAGACACTGCCTACGAAGCAATCACTCTGCCGCGAACACACGAAAGTATACGGTAGCGGGGATCCTGCAGCTCCTGTTGGGCATTCTTTCCCATGTGACATGACTCCAGGAAAAGAACAGCTCATCTCACAAAACTTGTATGAACCTCACGCTATGCGAACTTGGGTCGGATTATCGGGATATTGGCTTAGCCTCTTGCAATCGAGGTGGCAGTGTGTATGGGTAAGCGCATCCAGCTAATTCCAGCTACGCTACGCACACTCCTCGCCGACAATTCACCTGAATGTCCGGGTAGCTGTATCTAAGTTCTAACCGTAACCCAACTGAGGCAACTATGACCGTAGTATCTTGATGACCCTGAACTCAAACAGCCTCGGGGAAGTCGCTTGCAACCCAGCGCGCGCACCGAGCGAAAAAGCGACTCAAGAGCCCCAAAACTTCCCTCCTGTCATGTGCCCATTCTTTGAGGACACAGCTAGTCACATTCACCAACATCTTAGTAACAACCGACCACATAACTGCCCCAAGCCCTGCAACTCATCCATCTCAACCCTACGGCCCTACTTCTAATTAACCATCCATGAACCTTCCGGAAAGCCGGCAAAGCCCAGAGCCCTGGTACCTCGACATGACCAAAGGCTTCCTCCATGGCCCTCTCCAGGAACCTCCAAAGCTGAGGCACTCAGGTACTCAAGGGTTTGGAATGAGCTTCTATGGCTCATGGCTACATTAATATAGAATCGTAAATGCGCAAATCGCAATCTTGCTTATTATGGCCCTATATACTTGAAACGATCTCATCTTCGGGGGGACGCGTGTTCTCTTTCGCGAGCTGATGCACCCTTGGTGCCTCCGATCTTCCTCACTGAGTTGCTTGAACTCCGAGGGCGCTGTGCCATCGTGGTACTTGGTGCCTGGGTTCGGCAGCTCGAGGGCATACAGTACATGTTTTGATCTATTATACCGTTTAGGTATGAATACATAGGCGTGCACGCATGCATGCATTATGTATATGCATATGTAGGCGTTCGTGATATTCCCGCATAGTGCGCATAGGTTTGGTTCCACTAGACAACGATTCTACTGTACCCAGGGTTTAGGGCTGACCCTAAACCCAAAACCGTTAACCGATCCTGCAAACCCACTCTCCGAGGCAATGGCTCCAGGCGAGGAGTCCAGGCCAATTGATGCCCGCCATAGCTCGAGGAAACGGCTCCCAGGGAGTGTCAGACTTCTCGGAAACTGAGCTGAAGAGCCTACTTGTGGGCAATGGCTTGGTTGGGTTCGATTCGTAGTGCTCGGATTTTGCTGCAGAAAACGGCTCAACGGCAACACAATCGCGGGGCTGCAACAGCTCTACATCGCTTGTCGGGAGGGCCCAACCACAGTGTGAGCGGGCATGATCTCTTCTTGTTACGGAACTCAGGACATTTTCGGACCCTCAACAACCTAAGCCGTAGACCCAAGCCCCCGAATACTGAATTCTAAACCTTGGCAGAGGCGAGGCTTTAAGCCAGCAAGACCCGAGCACCACACTCCACGCCGCGGACGCTGCCCGAGCCATCCACAAACACTCCTTCTGGGGCCTGGAGACACGAAAGAAAGCCTAGAAGCCCAGAGGGTCGCTGTACGGTGTGGTGGTTTTTGGTAGATAGCTTCTATTTGTAGGGCTTTCATCAATGCTGGCACCGGAAAGACTGGTTGGATTCTTGGCTCAGGGGAGGTCTTACAAAAGCGATAGGTTTTCGCTTGCTGCCCCCCTCCCCCCGCAAACACGGCTGCCGAGCTGAACTTCGAGAAAGGGCTTTCTTCTTATTGACCTGTGCTGCCTTTCACATCCCAGCCGGAGATTCCAAAATCCGAGAAGCCCTAGAATAAGAATTCCTACTAAACCCTAAACTCTAAACCCTAAACCCTATAAACCCCAAACCGTGAACCCTAAATAACCAAAACAAAGACAACCTAGTACACCGAGAGAACCCTCCATACCTCTGCAGGATCTCCAGCACCTGGTGGACAATACTTCCTGCCACGGTTTGTAGGGTTGAGAGTTTAGGGGTTTAGGGCTTCGTTAGGAATCAGGGTTTAGGATTGAGAGCTTAGGGGTTCAGGGCTCCAGGTTCAGGGTTTAGGGTTGAGAGTTTGGCGGGTTTAGGGCTTAGAGTTGAGAGTTTACATGGTCTTGTTAAGTCTGGGAGTGTTCTGACTTTCTTTTGTGCTTGAGGGCCTTTTCTTCTGAGTATGACGGGTTCAACGGCTTTAGGGTTTTGCGTGTTAGTTAAATATCCCGTAAGGGTTAACACCTAAGCCCCCAAACTCTAAACCCGAAGCCTTACGTTGTTGAGGGCAGTAAGTGTTGTTTTCAAGGCTTCCGGAGTCTCTGAGCTCTGGCTTTAGGATCAGAGCGAGAACGGGTTTGGGGCTTTGCGGCTGTTAAGGTTTTCAGGGATTCGAGAGTTTTGTGGCTTTAGGCTTTAGGGCTTGAGGCTCGGGTGTTCGGGGCTAAGGCTCGGTTGTGCAGGGCTGTTTTGGGATCAGGTCTCGACGGATTTAGGGGATGATGGCATCAGGTGACTCAGACACTGCATTTCATGGATTGTCATGGTACCAATACCCAAATTCGCAAGTTTTTCAGAATGAGGGGCATCCTATAATACACTATTGAATCACCATCGTAGCGCAGTCAACTGTAATGTGACCAATGATATGTTACAACATGGCGAGTAGCCCAGGTCCAAGCCCAGAATCCCACGAACAAAGGGGAAAATGAAGGACCTTAGTGGGGACCCTTACCCTATAATGGGCTATATAATGGGTATATAATAACTATATTAAGGGTATATACCTAGGGGTCCTTTTTGCAAGCAAGGCCGGGAGGGCCCAGGAGGACAGAGACCGGTACCGGCAGACGAACCTGCCCGCGCGTCGCCTGCAACGCGAGGATTTTTCCGGGAAAGCTCGGATGCGGTGTAGGGTTTAAAAGTTATTACGGGAAAGCTCGGGTGCAGGGTTTTCATTGGGTGGGCAACTTGTGGCGATTTTTGGCACAGACTTTGCCTGCCATCCACATCTGCTAGCTAGCGATTCACGCGTCGTCACACATGTGGCCAGCTGAGATTCGGGCAGAAGGTGCCGGCTTTGCACTGCCTCAAGTGTTTGCAGACTTTTCTTGTCGAGTCAACAGACACTTTGGTCCTAGTCCTGACATCTGAATCGGCATGGCAAAGGCTGCTTATCCCTCAGTTCAGCCATGGCAGGAAAGCAGTAGCGGTCCAGACTCGTGTCTACATGAGTCCGAGCAAGTGCAATGTGTTGCATCGCGTCGTGCTGTAGCCAAGGTCGCCGCTGTGGAGCGCGCATCGACAGCGGGTTGATCGCTTCCAACGGGTACTGAGCAAGGCAATCTTTGATCCGGACATCGACATTGACAAACAGGACATGATGGCTCGACGCTGCAGGAATTTGATCGTAGCCTCTGTGGTGGCCAAGAAGGTCTCCTGACGAAACTGCAGGATGAAACGGGCTTCCATCGGAGTTTGTGTACTCAAGCCTTACTCAAGCTCCTACTCTTATGCTTTCGCAGTCCTCTTGAAGCCTCCGCGTGATGTCTTCTCCGGAAGCCTTGCTGGACTTTCCAAGGGGGATGAAACAGCGTAGATGCAAAACGGTTTGGTGGCAAACGCGTCAAAGCACGGAACAATGGACTGAGGAGCACTCGCACTATCCTGGGAGCACTCAGGCAGCAGCATTCTGGGCAAACCAGGTCCAGTTGCCCAGAGAGACGTTTGCCGTGCCATTCGGCCAGATCTTGCTGGCAATGTCAGCGCTGACATTGGTCCACAAGCGCCTTGCTGCACAAATCGAGTTAACGACGTCCGCTCGTCTTCAGGCATCTCAAACCCCCAGGATTTACCGGGATATGAAGCATCGACTTGCACTGACCATCATACAAGAGCTTTGGGGTCTGACTGATGGTGCAACAAGTGACGCCGGACACGGCTTGCCCAAGCTCGGGGCAGCCATTCTTCTTCAGACAAGTCTTTCCTGGCCAAATCTTGGAGAGCTTTCGGATTCTCTGGAACCGCCCAGGCAGCCGAGGAACTACAGTCAGGAGCAGCAGAGCACGAGTCAGCGGCACCACCTCCCTCAAGCCTGAAAGCTTGCAAGCCCAAGCATCCGCGGCAGTATCCCCTGAGAAACGGGTCCTGTGCGCCAGCAGCTGTCGAAATGCCAACTCGGGTGCCTCGGGTTGGGTGTGGAGAGTCTGACTTCAGAAGCCACAAGTTTCGTTCTCTACCGGGGTCCAAAGGGCGACTTTCCATCGCATGCGAGGGATGTCCCAATCCCTTTTGTTAACCGCATCTTGCCTCGACAAGAATCAAGCCGCTGTCATAGGGCCAGGAACCCTGTACTGGAGTTAGATCTATGATGCTGACATCTCCGTGTCTGGGACTTCGGCCTGTCATACTGCAAACTGCATACTGACACATGTACTTGCCATAGCAATAGGAACCATGCCAATGCTTACTGCTGCTGACGACAACACAAGGGGTTAATTCGGCTTGTAACAAATGTGAAGATTGTCAGGCAGGGCAAGTGCGAGTGATAACACGACTAGCGATAACTTTAAAAACGACATGCAGTACTAGTCGTCGTGATAGAGGTATGAGAATGATAATCTCAGTCAAACTTAGCATCATCCGCACAGCAACAGTAGTCTTGATGATGATGATGATGATGATGACGATGCTGATGATGATGATGTTGACGATGATGGTTATGACTTGCGGAAGAAAGACAACTTCGCCTGGCACTGAAAGTAACCTGTCACACTTGTACAATTGATTGCCCCGGCCGATGGATTCGGACGTCCGTCTACAGGCCTGAGTTCTTTCTGCCCAGCCTCAACTGGTTTTCAGGCTCTTGTGGATTTTGTGCAATGTGCGTTGTGCATGTTAGACAGGTCATGTGGTGTCAAAGCTGTGACTGAAAGGGTGATATTATTCGTGAATGCCTAACCGTGCTGAAGTTGCCACGCGATGCCGTACCTTCTGTGTCGGTTTGTGATCCTTTGCTAGCTTTGTGATTTGTTGTTGTATGTCTGTGTTGAGGGGAGGGAGTTGACCACCATTTTGGAACTCGTTCCTCCACCGCTCAAGACCCCGAAACAATTCCTGACACCGTCTGACATGCCTCAAAACTCAAGGCTCACGTGCGCCAGTCAAGACCATAGCGACTACTCTAGGGGCCTGAATAATTACCAGTACTGTTCTGGGGTTCCTTATTATAATTATAGTATAGTGGGCCTTCAAACCCAATTCTAACTATTAAGGCCCCAATTGTATGCTGATATTCTTGTAGAAATACTTGCAAGACGCTGTGCCGGTGGGCCCTGCAAACAAAGAGGTTCTCAAGCCAAGTGGGATGCTAACCCTACCGAAAAAACCAACATTCAACATGATAGGTACCCATAGGCCCCAGAGTAGTTCCTTTTTGGGATTACCTTCTAAAGTTCTACATATGAACCCCCAAAAGGAACTACTATGGCGCCTATGGGTAATGGTATTCCTACCCTTCAGATTGGAGGTCAAAGCCGAAGATAAGTTCCAGGCTGAACACTCCCAAGAGTTTAGGCTTCAGGGTGTCCTTCTGAGCTCCGTACTAAGGAGGCCGCTTTCCCCACGGCATACTGCTGGTGCATTGGTTCGTTGAGCCTTCCACGATAAGACTGAAGGGCAGAGAGACATATTGTTTGTCAGCTGATACGCCGCAATAAACTAGAATATAATGCATTATAATAGACTTAACTGTATGCTACCAGAATATGTCAGGGTGCTGCAAGCCGATCTACCGTGTCTATTTTCACCACCGATGCAATCTAGTAGCTTTGCCAGGTGGAACCACAAGCTCTGACGAAGTTACACGGACTTTATGAGGACAGAGCCTCTTCCGCAGGCAGTGGAAATTGGGTGCGAGGACAGGAAAAACACGGCAAAACTGTGAACAACTCTCAATGAAGAGCTGATGCCAAACCCGGCAACGAGAAATGAAGACCAAACCTTAAGCAGCAAGCAGAGACATTTCGCATGAGAGCAGTATTCTGCGATCAAAGCCTGGCACACAGCCGCAGCCTTCTGAGGAGAGCACAGGCAGCTGGGCTCCTTGGGAGCCATGCTGCTAAGGTGCCACGGTTTGGCTGCAAACAGGCGAACGCTTCTCTAGCTCAAAGCAGCGCTGTACCCATGGAGAACTCATACCTGCAGATGTTAGATGGATACTCTTACAACTACGGTTGATGATATAAATCCTGCATGACCCATTATAAGGAATATACCATAATTCCCATAGTCTAGGGCCCTTAAGGTAATGCAGGATTTCTATCATCAACAGTATGACTGTGGTTTCGTGGCGAATTAGGTATCTCACCAAGCCAGCGCTGCTTCGACAGGCTTTGCTAATCGTGGTCTTGCCACGCTGAGTTTTGCCACCGCGATCAGGGCTGAGAGTCGCTGCTGCTTGGCAGCTTGGCCATACCGAGGCGACTGCCATCTGCACGGCACCCCAACCGGAAAAGGGAGCAATAAGACTTAAAGCTAGCAAAGAGAACGAACCACGAAGCGCGATTTAATCAGCTTCGTGCAGGGTTCTTCGGGAGAACTTTTGGCAGATTGATTCTGATTCCGCTGGGCTGTTCCAGCCCGATACTAAACCATTGATACTACTAGTATTGCTATTATGATTATTATTCTGATTCTAATAACTATTCCGAAAACATGTTTTCTATTTTTACAGTTATTGCTATTGCAAACAGAGCTGAAGCTTCAGGCCTCGACCGTCTGAGGCGATCTGTCATCGTAAGCGCTAAGGTCTTCTGCTGACGACAACGCCGAGAGGAGACACTTTGCTTCACTCGGCGATCTCGCCTTGTAGGGTCTAGGGCTTGTGCGTAGGGTTTAGGGCCTGTGATCAAGAAGAAGGTTACGGCACCAGCAGCTTGATATGAGGATTTGCGGCAGGAGTGCGGCTGTGGCAGAGGTGCTGCGGAAAGACTTTACGGCTTTGTATACTGCTCTTATACAGTCATGCACCAGAACTGCACCCCAGTGCCAGCGAGCGTCCAGAGTCTGATGCTCCTGTTCTTTGCTCCTCAGTCCAATCTGATTCTCGCTTCTGTCAACAAGGCGAACGCTCAACAGACTTATTCTATTCTGTCCACTGTAGAAATTATTTGCAAGATGCCACAAGCCCCGACTAGTGCTTCTGCTTCTTGCAATAGCTGCGATTCCTGCGAGCACCAGGTTCGCACTGGCTCCTACTTTTGCTATCGAGGTTCATCACGCAGGTATTGTGATACTATCATGAGTTCTAGCAATAGTATTTCTATGACGCACAGTAGTAGTACTATTACTATCATTAGTAGCGCGGGACAAAAGCCAGGGCTGGGGGCTGTTCTCAAAGACTGCAACTCTCGAACTTCAGGGTGTTAACCCCACGAACAACCTCAACTGAATGCCTGAAATGCTAAAACCTGAATAAGTATGTCTACATATGTATACTCGCATCTACATATACATATGTATGTATGTATATATATATATATATGTATATATGTATATGTATGTATACATATGTATGTATATATATATATATATATATATATACATTCGATGTATATATATATATATATATATATATATATATATGTATATACACACACTGTACACTGCAAGCCAGGGGCAACTCTCGCCCGGAAATGCCGGTACTCCGGAGTCGAAGACCGAAAAAGACGAGCAAAGATGAAAGGACCAGCCCGGAGACAACCATAGCCTCAGTTTGTTTGTCCAGAGCCCACGGTTAAACGTTAAGAGTTTAAGCCTCTGTGTTTAGGGTTTATAAGGTCTAAAGCTTTCGGGTTTAGGGCTGCTAGGGCTTAAGGGTTTTTGGGCCTCAGAAGACTTGGGATTTAGGGCTCTCGGGTTCACAGGGACTCTAAATCAGAAGTTTTCAGGGGTGACGTCCTCGTGGGGCGTATGAAAACAGTTGACCAACAAACATTGCTCCTGCCTGTCTCCGACATGTCGGTTTAAACTCTTCCGGCAGCACCCGGCAATTTCGAAGGAAGCTCAACCAGCTCTACAGCTAGTACTGTAGGTCTGTAGGTATTATCATAGTCAATACATTTATTACTATTACTATTTGTGGTATTAATTATGAATCTCATAAATAGTACAAAGTGTAGTTGGGGATGATGCAAACTTCCAGTCCAAGGGGCCATCATCGTCCAAATGCCATGGCCATGAAGCCTCTCAGAATTGTCAACCGGAGTGGGGACCCGGCCACTCCGACTGTGAATCGAGGGGTAAACACAAACACATTGACATTGAATTTTGGGCTTGGGACCACGACGGGCCAAGCTGGTCTCTTTACTGTTAGGGCTGCTGTTGCTGTTCAAACTGCCACAACTACTCTGATTAGTAGCTTTACTGCTACCCTCACGGACACTTGCTACTACTGGTGCCGGAGAGATATGAGTAGGGAGTGACCGCATGGCTTGCCGACGAAGCTGTTGCTCTTTTGCAGTCTACCCTTTTTCCTGTCTCTATACCCTGAACCGAAAAGTCTAATATAGGGGCCTTGACGGGCAGCGACCGTGACAAGTGGAAGCTGGACCCAGTGCCAATCAGAGGATCTTCCGTTCATGTGACGTGAGAGGAAGCCTGCTATGTAACCAAGATCTGGGTGAACAGCTTTCCTACGAACGAAAGAATGCTGCGGTCTTACACTTTCCTCGTCTGTAGGACGGTGCTTGGATCCTCCACTGCATCCTTGTCCTTTCCCTCCGCAAACACATTGTAGATTATGTGTACCTCCGTTAGTCCTTCAGTGCAGGTTGCGAACTTGCTCAAGAGCTGACTATGAAAGCAGGCTTGGGATGATTGCCTCAGAGCTTGGTTGGTCTCAAAAGCAGGAACCCACCAAACTCGCCGAAGTTCAGCATGTATATCCCTCAGAATCCTCAGAAAATGTCTCGTCAGAAAGCCATGCTTCCTGCCTCGAGGCAGCGGACGGCTGGCGTTTGAATTGTCTGAGGTATTCGGATTCACCGTTGACTGCAATGGCCTTGGAAGGAAAAGCACGGCATCAGTAGGGATCCAGCAACAGCTGCATCGCCTTTGCCTACAACAACAAACGTGCACCAAACTCGAGTCTCCAAGGTATACACCAGCATCTAACTAACATACGTGATAACGACACGATTACTTACTGTACAAACACGTAGCAAAATGTCTTCACAAAGCCAGAAATCATGTACCTAAACGTACCTAAACCCCACACCAAACCACCGCAAGTCTCAGCACCAAGAGTCGTCAAGCAAGAGGTCGATTGCGTGAGATGAAGCTTCGGGATTGTCGGCTGGGCACATGTGCCCAGCTTCTTCTATCCTTAGCTCACCGCAGGATCTTGGGTTCGAGGTTTAGGGGCCAGTTTAGAGCTTTGGTATCAAGGTCTAGGCTGGTTTCGATCTAACGTCATCTAGACTAGAAGCTGTCCTCACTACATTTTGAGGCAGTTGCCACCCTCGGACCGCAACGGCACACCCTAACTACTAAACACTAGTCAAAACCTCAAGAAACGGGAACTCCCCTTCAAAACATCTTGAGCGAATAGTTTGACAGGAACTCTGGAGGTTTCAACCCTGCGATTTACGCTCAGCTCCCGGACAGTCTCGAAACCAAAACATGCCTCCCGACTGCTGGGATACGTGGAGTTCCTGCCAAACGCGAAATTCCCAAATTTACCAATAAGCAGCGTGCTGCAGCGATAGCAAGATATGGCAAAACTACAAGAACCAGAATCCAAGAGCGAGACCAAAACTAGCACTGAGCGCTCGTCAAAAACTGCACATGTCGCCTAGGCCTAATATTCGACAGCCAAGATCAGCGGAGCATCTGCACGAATGTCAAGCCTCAGCGACGAAGCTGCATAGACCATGTGCTAAGAGAGTAGGAGATGGCAGCTTACATAAACACATATTGGATTGTACGTGCAGCTGTCAGTTGCAACTGCAAGTGCAACCATAGACGGCATGATGCGCAAAACGACAACAACCACAATTGGCTGGCTCGATGAGTAGAGTGGCTGTGGATGACCAAAGGTACTGCGGGCAACACGATCATGATGGCGACTATGTTTACCATGTTTACAGGAACAACAGCGACCACGACCGTGAATGATGATTGGGCACCATGTAATGAGGGCGGTTTAGGACGACGACCATCATATCTTCATGGCGATGTTGCCGCTGCTGCAGTTGGTGATGAGGATAAGTTGAAAGCTCATGGCGATATGCAGGATGGCGCTGGGATGTTGGTGGCCTCGGTGGTGGTGGCGGCAGTGGTGGCGGTGATGATTAATTCTGACGGTGATGCCGGCTTTGACCAGACTGGGGCAACACGCAGAACCAAGAAAACGAGCGGGAACAGGATGAACAACAGTAGTCATTGCGACTGTCATGGTGACGTGATTATTGGTCGTGGATTTGGAGGTGGCGATGGTGACGTTGCAGACGGAGTTTTTGCTGATCATTTCTGTCTATGTCTTCCGCCGTAATCAATCGCCATGATCATCATCACCAGCATCATCATAACCAGCAGCATTAAGATCATCACAAAGATGGGGCCTCCGCCAGACTGCTTCTGCCCGAAGGTCTGGAAGGACTCCATGGGCGCGCTGGAAAACTCGCTCTGCCGATCCCAACGCAAGGAGCTGGCCACTGCATAGCCGCCTTGGAGCTGCTCAAGGGCACGGCTTGGCTGGAAGCCGAGGCCACTTCTAAGGACATCAAGAAAGCATGCGCTAAGGACAGGACCCACATAGTCGCATGTAAGATCTCTCATCCCATACATAAGCAGAACAGGGATCCCCCAGTCTAGCAAGTCTGAAAGCACGGCAGTGTAGCCAAAAGGAGGTCCCTTGTCGAAGCCACTGGGCAAAGAGATGCAGCCACCTGCGCAGCCTCCGAACGTATCTCGTCCGGCGCTGCCGCAAATGTTGAGTGCCTCAAGGACATCTGGCCGCGAGAACCAGCTGGAAAAGTTGGAGTAATTGTATCCATAACATCCGCAGCAGGGTCCTTTATCCGGCAGGGAGTGGTCGTACTGGTTGGGCCGGTACTTCAAGAAGAGCGCCATCTGTTCTGAGGCTTCCCACATATTGTGCGGAGCAGCATACTCAGGCAGCAGGCCTGATTGCTTGGAATATGCAACGAACGTGTCCAGGTTTTGGATGTTGTCATCGATGCATGCACTGCTCAATACGATTCCTGCAAGGCCTATGGGTCGGACATCCCCTGAGTTTCGATTGTGGTCTGCCACGGCCTTTGCCCAAGCCGGCACGAAATGGCCTGCATAGGACTCACCAGCCAACACAAACTTCGGACTCGGGATCTCCGGGAAGAGGTCTTGCCAGCCGAGCAAGAACTGGACCATGTCCAGCCCAGCTTGGACTGATGAGTTCACGAACTGCCCTCTGCCTGTAGAAAAGCCGACATAGCGAGGCTGGTCTACGATGAGGACATGGGCCCGCCGGTTCCAAGCATACTTATTGTAGGACAGCTTGCCTAAGAAGTGCGCTGACTGCTTTACGCCATCGAGGACGAGCGGTCCAATCTCGGTTGCAGCTCCCTCCATCGATGTGCATCCCGGTCCACCGTTGCCCCACACAATCACAGGGGAGGATGCTTCGGGCTCCATGGCCTCGAAAAACCAGTAGAATAAGTAATCATCGCGTGTCACATTCACGTAGCCTGGCGTTGGGATGTTGGTGAGGGCAAGAACTCTTGAATGTAAACCCAGTCGTCATCGAACTACACAAGAAACTCACTGCCTCACTATTGCGAACAGAGCGGCCGCTATACATCACAACCCCGGGGTCTTCCAATATGAGCTCTTGTGGAAAATAGACCCGAGCTTTCGGAACAGGCTGGCTGCAGATTCGTGCCTGCGCCAGGGAGCCAACATTTGGGTAGGACGGGCTACCAGTATGGCTAAGACCATTGTGACTATTGCCAGCAATATGTGTATAAGACTATAAACGGGGTTACTGTGCTTGCTGCTGCGGTAGTTGCGGATACTGACATGATTGCTGTTGCCATCTCCTCTGTCACTATTCTTCTGTATCAGCACCAATCATCCCGGAATTCTTCGACACCTCCGTCATAGCAAAGAGCAGCAGAGGCATCGTTCTTCAGCTGAGAACCGGGTCGAGCTGTCGTTGGTACTTCGATTACATGATCTGCCTAGGACATTCCGGGATCCGACGAGTAGCCTCTACCTTAAATTCGCAACACCCTTCGGACTGCTGATGTGCAAACGTACCCCGGGCCCTCGCACAATTCGACCTTTGCCCCAGCGCACAGTAAAAGACGTCCTGCCTCGATCATGCCAGCGACCGCCCAAAGTGCCATCGGTAGAAGGAAGCCCATTGCTGTGACTAGTTGCAAAGTGTGTCTATGTGATACTGCCGCCTGCGATATCGACATCTGCCAGTTGAGGTGGGATGCTACTGACGTCTGCTTCCCACTCTGGTGCTGCAAAATATCAGGTTGTGCTAAGATTCCGAACCCCGAGGTGCTCTGGATGCGAACACGCCACCAGTTGGGCTCCACACGCTTCTTGGGGAAGAGATTGGGATTGATGCTCGGGAGCAGGCATCAAAAATACTGTACCGGGCCTCAGGAGACATTCGAGACCTCAAGAACCTCAAGCCCCTGCCAACTTGTCCCAAGCGAATGGTATTTTGGGATTAGGTATCACTTTCCCGTGGAAACACTGATATTGTACCGCCCTCGGCTGTCGACGGCTTAAATTAGCCGGTCACTCACATGGGTACAACTGCACCGACCATGCAAGAGGTAACGTATGTTCGCGTTCACTTACGCGCGTACCTGCATATACCATACTTACCGGTTTTGCCATCCCTCATCGCATTCCGATGTGCTCGCTTGTCATGATGCACCCCACTCTTGTCATTGAGCTTGTCCTTGCCTACTTGCCACTATCTTGGAGATCTGTTGGCGCACCTGCGCTAAACCCCAAAACCAAAAAACCGAGGCCCTGAACAAGCTTTGCTGGCCTCTGCAGGGGAGCTGGAGCGCCCAAAGTCTCCGTGGACATCTGCTGGAACCTTGCGAGCGAAGGCAGAATGCGGGGCAGTGTGAAGAGAGCAGCGCTTGGGGGGAGGGTGGGAACACTGCTCTACTTCTGTGTGGCACAAGAAAAAGCAACAATCGCATACAACGGGTCAGTACGAGTGCTGGTTTTTGTCAAGGGTTTGATGGACAAGGTCGCGGAGTCTGACACTGACAACAGCATCTTTGAGTTGTCGTCTCCACTTATGGAGCGCATGCTACAACAACTTCTGATTGCAAGCTTGAGCAAGGAGTTCGTCTGTGCTGTCTTGCCCACTGTGAGAACAACATGCGTGGGTGCAACTTGCAATGACTACTTATAGAAACTCCACCGGACTAACACTGCCACCATTCTCAAGACTCATATTAAATTACCCTGTCTCGTGACCTTTATATAGGTTCTCTGAGATTTTCGAAAGACTGTGGGGCGCACTCGCTGAGAACACGGAAGTGCTCGAATGTAGCATCCTCCAGCTGCAAGTCAAGAAAGTACGGAGCAGCTGGGTTAGCACAGCACCTCGTGACGTGCCTGCTTCGGCGGCGTTCTTGCCTTGCCCTCGTGTGGCTCTGTCTCGTTCTTGTCGAAGCAGTCTGATGGCTTGTCCCACCTGCAGAGTAACAAGAAATCTCTGCAACTCAAACTCCGGCATATTCAATGTCTCTTGACACCTTGCAAAAGACATGAGAGGAACCACAGAAGACTAGAAACAGAGCTGATGTGGCACACAGCGTGCCTGTCTGAGCGGTTGAGCGGCGACCAGGACGAGTCGTTGGAGTCGTTTGCATGGCCACCCATCTCCTCCCCTGCCGAGCTAAGGATCGTTGTTGAAAAGTGCTTTGACAAGACCAGGTCAAAATAGCAGGGTCTGCGTCTACAGTACAGGACCTATGCCAGCCCCGCCTTGCTCCATGTCCGGAGGAATGGTGATGTTCCAGGTCCGGTTGTAAACTTAGCACGAGAGAAGTCGAAAGCAACCCGGTGTGCCGACTGCCAGTCTCATGCTATGCACCTACAGCCTACAGTAACCTATGACTTATAAACCCTAACCCCAAACGCAGTCTCATGCTATGCATGGCAGCTGAGGTTTGGGCAGACTTCCCGTAGCTTCTCGGTGTAGTGGGTCTCTGCGAGCCTTCTCGCCTCTTCCAGCGCCTGCCATCTGTGCATCTTAGGAGTTGTTGGAGGGATATATACCACATGATATGCACTACAAACTGTATACTTATGCTATATAACATGTACTGTAATTATATTCCAAAAAAATGCAGTATACCATACATGTGGGCTTTGACAAGTCGAGGGCACGTTGCTGGGCCGATCGAAGTCCACATCCACGATTCCGGTCAGCAAGTATCGTGGACCTGGGCTGCAACCGACCGACGTATGCAGGGCGGGCAGCTCCTGTAAAGCAAAACATCCATCCACTGCGTCAGCCTAGTTCCTAGCATCTCATGGGCGGAGAGGTTCGGAACTCGGGATTTCTTCGCTCGCTGCCCACTCGGCCCAAAATCTCAATCCCATACCCTGCAACCCTTCATCCTCTGAGTGTGAGACAGGTGCCCGCATTGCAGTAGGCACCAGCTGGACATGGCCTGGTAAGAGCAGCGAGTTCAAAGAGTTTAGGGCACAAAGGGTGTTCGGGGTCTAGCCTTGGGGGGTAGGTTTTGTATGGTTTTTGTTTACGGTTTGGAGAATTTTAGTGTGTTTGCTCAGAGGCTGTGTCTACCGTAGCCTATGTCTACTGTAGCCGAGCATTGCATGTGCACGAGAGTATCTGTGGTAGGGCCATGTGTCCTGTCTCGGACCAGGACCAGGACCTGGTGCCTTCAAAGGTCAAAATAGGATACTGCTGATGGACAAAATCCTGCATGACCTCAAGGACCCTAGATTATGGGAATTATGGTATATTCCTTCTACTGGGTCATGCAGGATATAGTCCATCCACAGTATTATAGTCTTTGAGGCTCATACCAAAGTACATCCACAGTATGAGCAGGAAGGACCCCATGCTTTCTCGGAAGTTCTTCGGCCCTTAAGCCACTGGTAGTAGGCTGCTAGTCCTGCTAGGCTATTCCTAGCAAAATCAGAATCGTAATTAGCTTGCAGGGCGGGCGTTTTGAAGCACGGGTTTGATAACAGGCTCTCACATCAACCTCCGTAGCAGACCTGTGCATGAACAGCACCGGGGCCAGGGCAGAGGGCGCCTGAAGTTCCAGAGCCTCAGATCAGAACAGAAATTCAAAGGCTCAGGGTTTGGGGTTTAGGGGTTTAGGGGGTTTGGGGATGCTCCGGAAGCCTTCTGCCTCTTCAAGACTCAGCCCGGGACTTCTCAATGTAGTGGTGGAGATAGGACCTTGCCTGGACATCTTCCACGGCTCATCGCAGACTGAGCTCAAGAACTTTGCACAGCTGGTGCTCAATATCGGGACCTTAATAATTAGAATAAGGTCTTTTGCCCAATATACAATACTTATAAGAAGGGACACCCAAAATAGTTTTGAAGCAGGAACTGGATTAGTGAGTGTCCAACCACACAACGAGCGCACTTTTTGGTCTGAGCCCAAGACGTCTGTCGTACAGGGTGCGTTCAGAATAGAACATGAAAAACTACGCTCGCATGAGGACAAGTCAACACGGCCCTTCAAGACAGGGAAATTTCACACCCGTCTTATCTGTAGTGTGACGTCCGAATCATGCTCGAATTTTTGGTCGCTTTGGACCAAACCTACTTCACCGGATTATACCGGGAGCTTGCACAGTCAACCGAGCCGAGTACGGCGACTCAAGGCTCAAGGCTGAGTTCTTCAGTCGTGAAGCGGAGTGCTTTCGGTACTCTCCGTATTCTGTGCGGCTTGCGCGGGCACATCGAGTACCTGTACGAGATTGCGATCAATGCTGTGATTGATCAAAAGCGGTTTCATACTCTTAGTGAGACAATCCGCAAGTTGTAAATGCGTCGGTATCCATCTCAACTCGTCACCACAGGGGTGGTACAGGACGTGCGTTAGCTCTTCCTCCTCCCAGAGTCCTTGGCGGAGCCCGGACATCTCAATGGCAAGGCGTTTATCCTCGCATGACTTTGGAATCGACGCTGTCAAGTGATCCGAAAGGGACCTGCAGTCCGTATACTGCAGGTGGAACATCGATCTCTTTGCGACTTCTTCCCAATTCTGTGACCGGGGCAGTTTGCCAAGTACTTCGAGTACAGCTGCTCGAATGCGATCTCCATGCTCTATGGCATGTTGCAACGAGTAAGCTTCACACTGTAGTGTGGCTCGACAAACCCGTTTCATGGTGGACGAGGAAAACGAAATGAGGTGCATCTCATGCGTCGGCGCATTCTTGTCCACCGCCGACTGTGCGGAAGTGAGATAGTGGAAACGGCCTCTCTGTGACTTATGATTCGCCTCTCCAGCGAAAGAAGCGTCGCAAAACGTGACAACTGCCAGATCCCCTGTGCCCCAGGGTAACTTAGCGCTGTGCGTGATCGGCCTATCCGCATCTCCTAACGCCAGTGCTACTACGCGGTTTGCTTCACGGAGCGTATCCACCGTGGCTGTCGTAACACGCTGCTGCAGGGCGTTCACCCTATAGGCAAGATCAGGTCTCGTGGCGCGAGCCACCCAGGCCAGCGATCCTATGACAGATCTCAGCGCTGTGCGCTGGCCATTCGAGACTGGACACTGGAGTCGAGCCCTTTTCCGATTTATGTATATCGATCGGGCGAATTGCACGCGTGTTGTCCCTACAGTTTATACTGATGGTCCCATCGGCGCTTTGCACATACTCGCGTCCGCAGAAGCGGAACTTCTCAGTCTCTATGCGACCGATCTTAAACTTATCCAGTAGATTCTGGATAGCTGGCTCGCCTTCGGCGGTAGCAGCCCACAGGAAATCATCCACGTGGGTGCACAAGCAAGCACACAAACGACCACCCTCTCCTGTAATATAGTACAGGGCTGACAGAATTTGCGAGGCATTTAAGCCAAATTCTCTACAACTCTCCTTTATACGGAGGTAAAGGTTCCGCCCCGCGTCGGTGGTGCCGTACACGGGTACTCGGGCAATCATATACCCGGCTTTCTGAATTTCTGCATCGGGCACACCCTTAGGGTGTTTGGGAACCCGAAGGATGAGGAGGCGCTCAAGGGGTTTCCCTTGGAAGTATGCGTTCGTGATATCGGCTGCTTTGAGCCGCAGGGCCAACGAAACCGCCCATGAACACAGAAGGGCTATACCTTCCGGCTCGGCCGTGGGGCTATCTGCCCTAATATCCTCCTCATTCGAGATATGCTCGAAGTTTCCACATGCGACCAAGCGTGCTTTCCACTTGGGAGTGTATGCTGCTGTCCCCTTTAGGTGTTCGTTCTTATCGGTAAGAACCCATTTGGTGGGGATACACACGTGGCCAGCTTTTGTAAGCTCCTTAAACTCCTTGTCTGTGCAAGGGACCACCGCATTCAACTCGGTGTACTTCTGCCACTCAGTCGTCCTCCTCAGGGGCGTAGTGACACGGATGGGCCTCTGGCAGTCCGTTAGCACGTATGTGCTCCGCGAGTTTCGAGTGCTCGAGCCATAGGTGCTGGGCGATATTTCGCCGATGGCATCGCCGCCAACTGGCCTCCGAACACAAGAGAAGTGTCCGGTGAAAATCATCGTGAGACTCGCTAACTATCCTAGCGATCGTACAGAGCCCCTGGTCTGTCTGCAGGTTGGCCTCAATCCCGCCCCGGTTCCTATTACCTAACTCGGGGGCGTGACTGTACACAACTCCTTTTGCAAAGCATGTGGCAGAAAGCTCATCACAATTATATTGTGGATGCCGAACGCTATACGGGTGACTCCTGCAGTCAACAATTTCTTTCATCCCGTATTCGTGAATGCGTTCTAGGAACGTCTCGATGGGGAGGTCAGAGTGACCCATGGTATATATCCCATCGCTCTTCCTACCAAAGGTATTAGGCGTATCCCTGTATATGGGGTAGCCTAGATCCGACAAAAGCTGTATGTCATCTTTAGACAACTTGCCGAGATCACTCACCGTGTATGCGGAGATGCTGTATCGTTCTCCTACGAACGGCGCGACCATGTGCACGTCCTTTGGGCGAAACTTAAGAACCTTGTTCTTAGTATCATGGACGGTGCCATGCATTGTCGCGTTCTGAACACGCACGGGAGTTGTACCCGTGGCTTCTTCCACCCATAGACCGCCTCCACGATACTCGCCCACACCTATAGTGTAGTTAAACGAGCCAGGAGTGTTCGTTAGGTCTCTATGGGCCTCTGCGCCTCTGTTGGTAAGCTGAACGCTACTCCACTGTGGGAGGTGGTGTCCGGCTTGCATACTGTGATGCAAGAGATAGTGGTTGAGGTACATAGCGAACGACGGCCTCTCGCGCGTCGGTCCAGAGACACCAACAAGACCACCGTGTCGATATACTCCTACCGCGAGGGCTATGCTCCCGGGATCTCCATCATCTAGGAGCGGGCGCGTGTACGCCTCGCGTCGGTCGCGGTCAAAAGCGCGAAGGAGGGCCAGACACTCATCTGGGGAGAAACCCTGAGCATCTAACAGGCCTCTTGCCATGATCTCTACCTGATCAAGCTCTTCCGCAACTAGTGCGTCATCACGGCCTCCTACTGGCGATCGCGACCGAGCGGTTTCGCCAGTCTTATCTTTGGCGCGAAACCTTGCGGGAGTAGATGGCGCTGGCATCGGTGTGCCGGGCATCATCGCTGGCGTCGATGGTGCTGGCATAGGCACATCAGATGCGACTGCCGGTGTAAGCGGGGCAGCTACGGCCACTGGGCGTGGTGTCGCCGGTGCTGTGACCGGGTCCGCTACGCGTTCATCCTGGAACCTTTGTTCCGGCCCATGTACGATGGCTTCCGGAAGCACTGGTTCACCTGCCAAAACGCGATGCGCTGCAACTTCGACTTCATCAGCTGGGCGCATCTTCCTAGCGTTCACTAGTACGGGGATATTCTCGTGTAATACCCAGTACGCATTCTCTGCCTCGCGTCCTATGACGCGGCTAACCGTGGACCATACGACACCTGGGCTGCCAGGGACGTTGTCTCGGCGGTAGATAACTAAATCACCAACCTTATAGTCGGTGTCTAGAGGGGCTGCATTACGCTGTAACGCTTTGGCCACTTTGCGAGAAGTCTCTAAATGGACAAAAGCCTTCTTGGCTTCCTGCCGTGCTCTGTGCCGAACGTAGTATACGCTCGTCTCATCATACTTGGTAAACAATGTACCAAGGCTTTCGGATTCATCTAGCACGGAACCTGGTGTTCGAGGCTGCTTTCCCAACACATGTTGTGCTGGGCTAAACCCTTGGTGTCTACTAAGCTCGTTCTTAGTAGTAACACTCTCGGTAACGACCGCCTCCATTTCCTCGATATTCGAGGGCTGAGCCTCCTGCGCGACCTTCCTAATGATGGCCTTGGCAAGACCACCATGGCGTTCGACCTTTCCGATGGTCTGCGGGCTCTCGAGAGGGGCATTCTTATGGATTATACCATGCTGTGCCAGATACTCTGAAAATTCTCCCCTGAAATGCGTCCCTCTGTCAGTAGTTATGACTTTGGGATGTCCAGCCCAGCTGATCCACCTGTCGATCAGGCATTTCACACACTGGCGGGCACTTGGGTTGCCTCCCCCAGATTTCACGAGCACAACTTGCTGGAAACTGGTTCCCATGTCAACTATATTGACAGCAGTATAGCGATTTCCGAAGAAGTCCTTGACCTCGAGCGCATCCATTCCTATCGTATGGTTGAATGCTTTTGGAAACACGCTATCCCCAGCGACTGGGTGATGCCTGGGCACTGGAGCTGTGTCCAGGCAGACCTTACACTTGTAAAGTCCGGCGGCGGCGATGAAATCTTTGCTCGCCCGGGCCTGCTTCAGAACCTGTGTCAGGACTGCGTTTGGCAGATGGCCAAAGGATCGGTGCAGGCGCCTTATAGCTACCCGGACTCGTTGCGGTAACGATCTCCACGCCGCTCGGCGCTCCGCCTCTGTGTTCGGAGTTTCTGGAAACGGAAATTGTTCCAGAATGAGGCGTTCTCTTTCCTCGGGCGTCAGTGCGCCACCGGCATTGTCCACTTCACCATGGACACCTCGCTGAGGCATCTCAGCATCGGGCACCAGCTCTGCTTCGCTGATGTCCTCAGGATCTGTGTCCTGGGCGTCGCCGACAAAGCAAGTTCGGCTAAATGCGTTGATGTAGTACTCCTCTGAAATGGTACGACAAAGGTCCCAAAAGTCAGTACTATCCGTATCAACGTAGCTACGGGGGATATACCCGTAAGACTCTGTCCACGCTTGGAATGTATCCAAGGCTTTCTCA